AGAAAATCGAAATTTTAGTTTTTCGTAGTTCCGCCGCTCGCCGCTAGATGGCGCCACCTGTACCGTTTTCGACCGAATTCGACAAAAATTGATTTCCTGACTTTATTAGGCATCGAAACGCATCAAACCCTAATAGAAACTTGTTTCTAAATGCCTCAGGAACCATACTACGTCGTCAAAGTGTCGAAATATTGCATTTTGCATACGCAGTAGAATTGACATAGGCGGCTCATGTACGTATCGGAATGCTGACACAAAATAATTAATTACTCGTTACCCGAACATTATTTATGAACTTTTATGATCGTACCATGTAAATAATGCATTACTGACCATTCTTCAATCATAAAAATGCACAAAATATATCTACAAAACGTGTAATTAATTATGCAAAATGACCTCGTGTATACCCCTTGTCACCGTGGCTGGCCTTTGGTTATTAGTTAATAACTAATTAATTTCATTAAAAATCTGAACAAATATGATACGAGAAAGTAGCTGAGGGATCACTGAACATTCTTTAATCATAAAAGTTGATAAACTGTGCTCAGAAAGTGAGTAATTAACGATTTTGCATACTTATTATCGTGTATATTCCTCCTGTGCGCCGGCCGCGGAGGAATAATCATCGAAAAACCATATCCCCGTAGACTTTAATGCAAAATTGAATTTACTTGCGCTTATGTACTTGACTTTTCAGCTTTTTTATCCACGTTTTTCTCTTGCACCATTCAACCAATTCAACCGGATAACACGGTTAACTATTTTTGTTAAACCCTTTTACTTTTATCTTATTCCATTCTCTATGTAATTGCAATATAAAGTTTATCAAACTATTTCTATATAAATACTACTTTGCTACACACAATACTCGTTAGTATAACAAACTATTGAATGATTCATCTGTCTTTTAAATTCACATCCTTAACATCTTCAATTTATTCTACAATCCCTATTTCGACGAAAGCGACTGCTTACAAAAGTGGTACATAGGAAAATTCACGATGAGACATAATTACACACGAGGATTTGGTAAAAATGTGTATCTGCATTTATTGAAAAAAAAAAAATTACGAGACACAGAGAGTCTCGATGTGTACACGCATGTTCTGCGGTGTCCGTGAATCGAACGATAAAAGCGTCGATCGACAAAATGTGCTGTTTAAGCGGGTGATTGCGATCGTGGCGACGCAATAATCGATCGTCGGTACTACGACGAAATATGCTGCTCGTGTTACCGTTTTATCTTCGCTGAACCGCAAAGATTATATTCATACATAATTATTAAAACAAAAATCTGTCGAAGTATCGCATTGGAAACGTGGTGGGGCCATGATTCTCGATTCTATTCGAGAAACCGATTATCGTAGACCAGCCTCGATAAGAAAATTCGTTCCTACTATATTTATAGATATACATATACATACATACATTCGATATTTATAATATATTATATATACCTAGGGGCTGTGTCTCGAGAAAAATGCCGCTCGGTTGCCCACCCTTGTCGCGTACATTGGTACCTAAAATGTTCATCTCGTGCTTTTTGCTTCTTCCATCCGTGGAAGAAGATAATTGCAATTATACATGTCGCCTACTAATATATTAACCCTCGTTTGGTAGCAAACATTCTTGATCTCTCATTGCATATAAATTTCGATTATAACATTTCAACAATGCTAACCCGTCAAATACATGAAAACACATATGAGCTCGATTCCCAAAAATGTGAAACAATTTATAAATTAAATTGACAAAAACATTATGGTCTATGGATCCTAGAATCTTCTTGAATTCTAGCAAAACAGAAACGATAGATGACTCCTTTCTTTACGTGTACTCACATTTTTCTAAAGACGCGTAAGAAAGGAATGATTTACCGTCTGCGGTTCATACATGGACCAGAAATTCTAAAAGGTTAAACTCATGCAATAATATCTCCCAAGTATATCTTAAAACTTAATGACATCGTTCTCTACGCTTACCCGCTTCCCTTGGTTAAAAGAAACTGTAGAGGAAGAAAGTCTCTACAGTTCTTCCTTCTACCACCCTTAACCAACAGAAGTAACAAACAGCTTGCAATGCAAATGTACATTCTGCCCTGATACAACGTAAGAAAACGAAAGAAATTTTTACAATTTACGAATCGCCATCCGAGGGTTGAGCATACAAAACCATCAACGTAAACAATATTTCCTCGGCGAGACAATTCGGTTGCCCTCCTGATTCGCTCGCAACCCCATCGTCGAGACCCGGAAGCGAACTTTCCGGTCGGCCGCGTGTTTCGCATCGTCCATGGCAGCATTACAACGCGCGCGCGTCGTTCATCGGTGATTGGCTCGATGCAAAAATAGCGATTAAAACACGCTGCGTGCGTAAAACGTTGTTCCTTATTCAGCAGGAATATTCGTTGATCGATTCGAGACGAACGTTCCATGCTGACGGATTCGTTGCTCGAACTAAAATTGACCGCGAACGAGATGTTCCGTTAGGTTACCAGACAACTCACGATCGACCACGAAGAGGATGCACGTTCGTCTCGTTGTCTGGTACGCGACCTCTTCGGACACTCGTTTCACGGTGGGGATTTTCGTTAGTTCTACGCGAAGCCAACGCACGCTCGCGCGTATACAATAGTGGTAATAAAGGTAGCAGCGAGAGGAGACGCTCTAACGTTAGACGAGAAGAGAAATCAATCCGCAGCGATGACGGCGGTAGCCGCC